TTTATGTCTAAAAATTTTCGTGAACGATAAAAATATATTTCTTTCATTCATTTTTGTAAGCACTGTGAGAGATGATTTTTAGAAAAATATTTTCAAAATCATTCGTTTTCCGCGAAATAAACGGAGCCTAACACTACCATACACGACAATGTGCAAAGTTGACTCTAATCCTCTGGAGTCTTCAATTCACACCTCAGAACCTCTCGAAGCAGCTTTCAAAACCCGAAAATAGAAGTGACACAAACCCGACTCACGAATTCAAAATCAGATTATAGCTTTCGGCAAAACATACCTGCAATCCTCGAACCCAACTGAACTCCAGAATTCTTCAAAATCGGATATTTAGGTAGTTTCTCTCTCTTTTGTTGCAGATATTTAGGTACTTTCCAGGACAAAGACAGATGTGGCATTCTAATTTGCTCATATTATTGTAATTATTAGATATAATAATAAATAAACTAATAATCAATTAATTATAATTTTGTAAAAATTAATAATCAGAATATTTATGAATAACTTAGCTGAATACCAATATTACAGCAATTTTATGCTTTCGTAATTTAATATACTGTTATTCCAAAATAAATATAATGTTATTCATATACTAATATTTAACATTCTAATAATATAACATTTGAATAGGATATGTAACGGCGCAGCCAGAGATGGGTGTGGGCTAGAATACCCACCTTGCCTCCGTTGGACCGTTGCTTTGAGAAATTTCTTAAATGAAGAGCGGTTATGCCGTCAACAGCTAAATTGATGGCACTCGCTTTCTTTCACCATATTTATTCCTTTCTTTAGGAGTCATTTCCTTAGGTACACTCTCTCGCAGAAATTATGTTAGATGCTCGAGTGGACGTTCAAATCCTGTTCGGATATCGAAGTGCAGTTCAATTGTCGAAAGTTCGATTTGAGTCCGATCTTCTTTTCTCTTTGAGTCAGGTTTTTAAGACAAGATAGGAAATCGGGTTTTGCAATCATCATGAATGTATTATACGAAAGTTTTAGGACTTGATTACACTTTTTAAAAATTTTAGGACTCGATTGCATTTTCGTGACAAGTTTTGCGACTTCATTGCACTTTTTGAAAGTTTTACAATTCAATTACACTCTCGTTGTGACAAGTTTTAAGACTTTTAGTGCATTTATCCATTTTATTTAAGTAAAAGTTGGCTTCTGACCTAACTTGAAAGCATGTTCTCTCTCATCCAACATCCAATCTACCCGTTTCTGTCCTTGTGGAGAGCTTGCGACTCGAAATTTTCAATAGTACGATTGGTTTTCGCTTTGGAATGCATGACTGGCAACTACTCCTAAATTCGGACTAGGAGCAACTAAATTGAATGGGGGCAATTAAAAAAGGCTTAGAGAAAGATTGAAGGGATAGTGACACAAACAATCCTTGAACTTTGGCCCAATGTGCAATATGGTTCATGAACTTTTGATTTGTTTAACGTAGTCCATGAACTTTAACCTAATGTTCAATGTGATCTCTGAACCTTTGAGATTGAATAAGTATGGTTAAAATCTAAGATATCTTGCGATCCAAATGTTTGATTCGGTCAAATTAGGTACCGAAGGAAAGCTCTCACAGGGCATGATCCAATCGTACCCTTCAATTGAAATTTTGACAAGGTTGACTTTCGGTCGAACTTTGATCTAAGCCCATGTTAGGTGACTACACTCAGCATGGAACTAGTGTCGATACGGTAGACAACAAGGGGAAAGGACTTTGGCCTCAACGACCTCTTATCACGCATAGCGATGACCCTTGAACTCTCGGCCAAGACTTCATGGTTTCGAGGGTCGTATAAGCCCCTCCTACTAAATAAAATCCCTTCCCAGTTTTCTTTGAACTATCATGCCGCATTTCTACATGTGATAAGACTGAAGAGAATCCTGGCAAAAACTCACAACGATCAAAGGGAGTTTTCTCATACTGTTTTTTATTCATGTAATTCAGGAGGAGACAGACTTTGTTTCTTGTACTAAAGAGAGAAATCTGCCTAAATCTACTGTTTTTACTCATGTAAAATCTAAAACCCGATCAGTAATTTAATACGACTTTAAATCATATTCAAGGATAGAGTTACTACCACGAAAAATCTCAAATTGGTGCACATGTGATAAATTTATCCCAAACTAATTTTTTAATCACAAAAAATTCCAAATTAGTACGCTTGTGACGAATTTACCCCAAACTAATTTTTTTATCACTAAAAACCCCAAATCGGTACATTTGTGATAAATTTACCCTCTGTTGTTTCCGTTAAATTGAATTAATACTATCAAAAACCACAATCCGGTGCACCTAAACCCCAAACTGGTACATCCGTTAACTGTCACGAGTCATCCAATTTAGCAATTTGATGGTAAAATTTAACGGAAACTAACGGATGATAAATTTGTCACATGTGTAACAATTTGAAGTTTTGGTGGTCACAAAATTAGTTTATGGTAAATTTGTCATATATGTATCAGTGTAGAGGTTATCGTGGTATTAAACCCTTTAAAATATAGGAACTGTAATATATGGGCCCATAAATCCAGCCCATTATTTTATTAGTCAAGCCCAAGCCCAAGCCCAAGCCCAAGCCCAAAAACCCTCTAAAATTGTGGCCTTAAAAACTCAGCCAACTTTCACTTATTTTTCATCATATGCACATGTGAGCGTAAAAGGGTAAAGAGACCACCGACGGACAAAACAAGGTAAAAGAGAAGAGCTCGTCCGTGAAAGAGGAAAAGGAGAAAAGGAGAAAAGGGAAAAAACTTTCGTGTGTAGCCGATCTGAACGTCCCGACAAGCCGAATCAACTCCGTTTTGCAATGCCTAGTAAGTATTCAAGCCTATTATGGATCTAATTGGAGTAATTTTCGAAGTTAGGTCATAAATATGTAGTTATGTGAACTTGGAACTTTGATTGAGGAGTTGTCCATTGCTGGATATATATGAAAATGATAATTTAGGGCGTTGTGGAGCTGTGAAGTTGGATGAAAATCAATTTCGAAGTACGGTTTGATCGGAACGAATTTATGAAGTTTTGCATGTGAGTTACCGTAATTGACAATACACGTAATAGAGAAAGATGAACGTTCGCTATAAACGAGTTTCTTCGTTAGTGCGTATAAGTCGTTTCATTAACGATTAAGCGTAGTTTAGTTGAGTTGTTCGTTAGAGTAGTAAATTACTCGGTTTTTGATATCGTTTTTCGATTAATTGATAGGAATACGAGTGTGTCGGCTTATGTAACTACTATATGTTGGTTTTTGGCTTTCCTAAGTGAGTGGTATCATCTCTTCTATGAATTTACAAACTCATATCTTGAAAGTGGTAGAGATTTTATATAATATGAGTTATGAAAGAGCATATTTTTTTGCATAAATTAGATCGAACTTTTAGTATCCTTTTAGTCGGTTGAAAAGCCATTCGAAAGCCTTATTTGAAGCAGTTTGAAATGATAATTTATTTTGATTAAATGCTTTGTGAAGGGTGCTAAAGGCTACATGCATTGATTTATGAAATGCTTTATGAAATGCATTCTATTTGATAAATGGAATTGAGAAAGATTATGTAATTTGGTTTTTGAAACCATCAATTACTTTTATGAAATGCATTCTATTTGATAAATTGCATTCTATTTTATGAGTAAAAGTTTGGTTGGAAAGATATCATTTACTTTTGATATTTTACATATATTGTATTTTGGATTTAGAATTGGTGAGTTATGATATCAAATCATAAATATGTATAGTGAATGTTCAATCTATCTTACTTGCAATTTTAGTTCTTCAGCAATGCGCAAGTAGGACGAGAGCACTATCGTTATTAGTACATTTTTTAGAGTGGAGATTTTAGGGTATGAGTTGTATATGGCTACGATGAACTTCTCAGTTAGTTGTTTGTTGGAAATGTATATATATTTCTTTTATGGATTATAGAAACTTTGATATTGTAATCATATGACTCTTTTATCAAATATATACATGTATATATTTTGATAACATATTGAGTTATGATTATATTTGAGGCTGCGTTTTCCGAGTGAAAGGACGGCCATATCATTGCCCTTGTACTTTTAAAGTTGGGGGTGTGACAGAAATAAAAAGAAATTTCATAAAAATTAAATTATGCATTCATAATACAAAAACATGCAAGTGAATGAAAGACTTAATTGACTTTGGAAATAGCTCGTAATATCGGAAATTCTATGCACGTCCTTTGATGTGCATCTATTGGAGCTCAACGGATTTCAAAAACAATGATCCAACAATTAATATAAAAGGTTAATACCAAGAAAAACCCTAAATTGGTATCTCCACAACAAATTTAACAAATTTACCTCCAAACTAATTTTTGGTTCACAAAAATTCAAAACTGGTACACTCGTGACATATTTATCCTCCACGAGTTTCCATTAAATTTATCAGTGAAATTGTTGAGCTGGATGACACATAGCAATAACTCAATTGACATGGCAAGTTCATGTGGAAATCCACATCAGTTTGTGATAATTTTTTTTACAAATGTATTGATTTGGCAGTTTTTAATGATCCAAAAATTAGTTCGGGATAAACTAGTAACAGATATACCAGTTTGGTTTTTTAATTAATTCACGAATATAAAATGATAAATAACAAATTAGGCCCAGGTGTAACTTGCTCATGCCCCGGGCCTAGTACAAGCGCCGGCACGACTTGCCGTTGCCACGGGCCGTGCCGGCCTGAGAACGGGCCCATGCCCGCATGTGCCGGCCCGTGGCCGCTGCTAATTTTAAACACGAGAGCACGCACGGACGGGTTGCGAATTGCGATCAACATTAGAGTCAGCACCATTGACTTCTAGTCCGGACACAACACATCGACGTACATTCTACTCCAGAAAAAAAAAAGGAAACAGAGATCCCCTTTCGCCATCGGCCCCCCTAACCAATCGCTTTTGACTTCTAAATCGTCAGGAAGCGCCGACGACTTTTGACGACATCGTTCGCATTCCACAACCAAAGAAGAAAACAATCAACGGCCATCCATCGCGCAGCAATGCTATAACAACACGACACCTTCCGCGACAAGCGCACGCCTCGGCGAAATGGGGAACCTCTGCGCCTCCCTCTCGCCCGAACCGGCGAGGAGCAAGAGACCCACCGCGTCCGAAACCCCGCCCCCGCCGCCGCCCTCCGCCCTCGCGAGCCTGAGCAGCCGTTGGTCCAAGTTCCGGTCGCCGTCGTCGTCGTCGCGCAGGGACAAGCCCGACGATCGCTCCGCCCAGGAGAAGGCTCTCGCCGCCGCGATCGTCCTCCAGCGCCACCGCCAGAACGGGAAGTCCGCGCCCGTCGACCGCTCCGCCTCGCTCCGGTACACGGGCCCGAGCGGACCCAGGAAGCAGGGCTTGCCCAGGAGCTGCAGCTCGCGGGCCAGTGCCGGCACTGATCCTCTGTTGCAGCCTCACCAGCTCGTTAATCAGGTATCGTCGTCGTCTTATTTGGGATTTATTGGGGGTGATTCTCGAACTGGGTCTTGTTCTATTTGACGTTCTCTCTGCTTCCATTTATACTTTATCTGTGATGTCGAATTGTTCTGGCATTGCTGTTGTTTATAACTGTTCTGTTCATTAGCTTCTGGAAATGGAGAAGTTGTATATAGGCCAAAGAGTGAGTTCTGTCAGTTGGGGCTTCTTTGGTTTATTTGAGAAAGGGTGGGCACGCTACTAAATCAATAATGGCAATTGACAATCACCATTGTTTCTAACAGAGCTTTCATTGGTAGTGATAATTTCTTGAGACTCGCCACTTGGAGTATGTTCAACTGTTTGTACCGCAAGATCGTACCTCCGATAGCTTTCTTCTTATGAACATGGATTAAATTAGTAACTTTTGTTTTTGTTATGATTAAGGTTACAAACACTGGATTGAATAAACTCGGTAATTGTCTTAGATAAGCAAATCACGCTCTACTGACTGACCTTTGATCCTGATTGAAGATATTGCCAGTCTACCCATGAATACTGCCCTCTGACTATATGGAGTAGAATGAAAGTAAAAAAGTCTCTTATAAAGTTCCAATGGTGCTCGAAGAGATACCAACCATGAACAACAGAACCGGAAAAGAAGAAACCAGCCGAAAGAGAAATATATAGTTATCCATGGTTGGATTCTCGAATAATCATCTTCTGAAGATTGATGCTGCAACTTGATCATATGTTGGATTTGTGAATTCAGTGAGACATGGGAATTAATGACTTGAAGTTAGTTTCACTGTGCATGATACTTTAGCTCAAATGGAAAACCCCTTGTCGCTTGAAAATGGGTTAAGTATCTAGTTGATTTGCTCCATGGATTTACTCTTCCTAATTCCAAGATTAGCTTTTTATACTGAAAAGCAGTGTCATATGTGATAGTAAAGTGAGCAGTTTATGCTATTTGTGGGGCTTCGTTATTTAAGAACATTTCGGCTTCCTGAGATGTATTTCTATTCGCATGTTGCAACAGTTGAGCTATGACTTCTATTGTGTTGCCTCTTATGAGCCTGCAGATAGTTGTATGATGATTATTTGCTCGCAAGATTTGGCATTGCTAAATCATTGAGAATTGAGAAAATCTAATTTCTTTGGTAAATCAATGGGAGTATTAATTGGTTTATAATTGTTGATAAATTTTATCACACAAATAAAGCTGGGAGGCTGACTTCTGCAGGCCTCAATCACACTATGATTACATGTGGATGAACCAATTCTCACAACTTTCTATGCAAATAAGTTTGTATCTTTCTTTGTAATGCCACTTCCCTTTGTACATTTTTTGCTCTAACACCTTGAACAGAATTTAGAGTTGTACCATGTACAACTTCATTTCCACTTTCCAAATAAAATACTGCTAAGCATTCCAAAACAAGTTTAACAAGAACAACATGAACCTTATAAATGAATAAGAGAAATCTGGATACACAGATTTTGATTCACCTCTTTTCTCATTTATAGTTTGTGCATGTGTTTTCTTGTATAGGATGTAAAGCTTGATGAATTGGAAACCAATCATTTTGTCCTTGTTCATGGTGGTGGCTTTGGTGCTTGGTGTTGGTATAAAACTATAGCACTGCTTGAAGAAGGCGGTTTCAAAGTTACACCGATAGACTTAACTGGATCTGGGTTTAATTCCTTTGATACCAGTGAGGTCACAAGTCTCTCGCAATATGTCAAGCCGCTAACTGACCATCTGGAAAAGCTGGCCAATGACGAGAAAGTATGTTTTGGCATCTCTTCTCCCATTTCTTGTCTGATTTGTCGTGCATTTGAGCATGTGTATTTGTGATGGTTGGATGTTGAAAAGAGATTTTTCGCACAGGTGATTCTTGTGGGCCATGATTTTGGTGGCACATGCATATCTTATGCAATGGAGCTATTTCCTTCAAAAATCACAAAAGCTGTTTTTATTGCTGCTGCGATGCTGAGGAATGGCCAAAGTACTCTTGATATGTGGTCTCAACAGGTTGGTTTTGCTGTGTATGTTGATTCCATCGGCAGTGGTTCACTTGAAACAATTATTAATGGTTAGACCTTCAGGCATCCCAAGGGTTACCTCATTTACACTTGAAGAGCACAATCATAATCCACACCTGAAAAATGGAGTCTGAAATTCCATTTTCTGTGTTAATGACTAGGGAACACGCCTAGGACAAATTGAAGCCTAGTAAGTACCAATTCTTTGTGTGGGACTTGATGCTATAAGGAGGCCTAGTGTTTATGTAACCAATGGATGAAGAAGACAAACAGAGATTGGATGTCTTTATCATTATCGAAGTAGTTGTTTTCCTATATATGTTGATGGGCATATACTGTTGTTTGGGAAATGAATTGGTCACCAAATATTCTTGTAAAGGGTGTAATTGGATCATGCATTTGGAAGTTGCATCTAATAAAAAATTTTGATTTTACTGCCAACAATCTTTGGTTGACCCCATAAACATAATTGTTAATTGATGCGTCTCCTCTAATGAAGAAGCATTTTTGTAACTTTTGAATGTTCGCTCGTGTTATTTTTACCTTTCCCTCCATGTTCAATAGCAGCAGAGGCCTGCAAACTTATGTGGATGATAGCCTCAGTGTCTGTTATGTAGTTACTTTAGATATTTTCCCGTCAAGTTTTTCTAGTTACAGAAAACTTGTATTGCAGGCAGGCTCAAATGATTTAATGCAAAAGGCTCAGATATTTTTGTATGCCAATGGGAAGGACCGACCTCCAACTGCTATTGATCTAGACAAATCTTTTTTGAGTGACTTGCTATTCAACCAATCTCCTGCTAAGGTACTTCCTTTCTCCTTAAATGAATTGCTTTGCTGATGGTAATTTATTTCTGCAATTATTGCTTTTGTTTTAATTTTCCAAGGAATTTACTCATATTATTGCATTGAGTGTATTTTCTGAGTTTTTGATTTCCTGATCCAGGATGTAGCGCTGGCAGCTGTTTCCATGAGACCAATCCCCTTCATGCCCGTTCTCGAGAAGCTCTCACTTTCAGACGTGAACTATGGGTCAGTGAGGCGGTTTTACATAGAAACTCCAGAAGATAATGCTATATCTATCGAATTACAGGAAAATATGATCAAATTGAACCCTCCAGAACGTGTATTTCGTCTAAAAGGTGCAGACCACTCACCTTTCTTCTCGAAGCCTCAAGCATTACACAAGCTGTTAGTGGAGATCTCAAAGATTCATCCCCTTGACCAAGTCTTACAGAAAGATGGCCCAGGGTGACTAATTTGGCCTGGTGCTGTCACTACATCACACAATGAATTTTGTCTTTTGAAAGTTTAAAGTAATGCAGATATTCTGCTGCTTGATTTTTTACAGAGATTCCGTCTGTCGTATATCAGCTGTTCAGGTAGATTAGCCTTTTCCCTCTTTTTCATTGGAAAGAGATGTTAATTGTTGTGTCATAGTTCATAAGTTTTGTAGAAAGCTCTCGAGGGTTATTTTGCAGAAAAGAGTTGTGTAGCTTTTCATCGCCTGATATGAAAATAAAATTTGTACTTAATATAACTGGTGCCGAATGGTGTCCTCTCTCTCTCTCTCTCTCTCAACTTCATTGGGTCATATGATGTAGTCTAACATCACAGTATGGAGCCAACGACGATGGTGGCGTCCAGCCTGCTTGAAATTTGATCCTCGAATGAAATATGCCTCACATTCGCGGCACAAGCAAGCAGTAATAAATTAGGATGAGGCAACACAGTTGACTCTATGGCATAGTTTGATCTGTTATCTTGCAGGGAAAAAGCCATCAAAAACCCCAAATTATGTCAATCGTGATACATTTATCCTAAACTTTTTCTTGTGATATAAAAATCCCAAAACTTGAATCTATATGACACATTTACCCTTTTTTAAGCTAAAACGACGTCGTTTTTATTTCATTTAAGTCACGTGGGCGCCATATCAATATTATTTGCATTCCGATGTCCATGTAGGCAAATTTTTAATAATGCTCATTGATTGAATCTTGACAGATGGTAAATGTATCACATAGGTATAAGTTTGCAATTTTTTGTATCATAAAAAAAAAGTTTAAGATAAATGTGTCACAATGGGCATAGATTAGAGTTTTTGATAGCTTTTTCCCTATCTTGTATCATATCATGTCCTAAATATTACTATCCTATTTTTGGTTTTTCCATATGTCAATTGCATCTCCATGGATGAACTCCTTCATGAGGGCCAAGATCGGAGTCTGTTAATTATGTGATGTCGTATATGCAGTCGGGACTCGGGAGCAATGCGCTTCAAACAAAGCATCTATTTTCCTTTGCCTACCTACCATTCCAAAGAACAGATCAACAAGTGGATTGTTTCTGAATCCTGAATAGCTGTATATCTTGGAATGCACTCTTGCATTTCTATCTTCGTAATCGAAAAATGCGAATCCGGAATCCTCCTACATGCTGGTGGCAACATGGCTCGAAAACCCCTTCTGCAACCGCAGTTTGTTGAATTGGTCCTGAATCCTGACCAGTCATATGCTGTTTCTTGGCCTCAGGGACAAGTGAGCATCGAAAGTAACCCCCATTTTTTTGAAATTGGTCACTAGAAAATGCTTTTTGGGCTTTTGGTGAAGTTGTTCTGCAATTTGATTCCACGAAAAGAAAGAACAGCTTAAAAGTTAATATTTTTTGTGCCCTCGACAAATTGACTATCGTAATAATTACTTGTTAGACCAGTTGTTAACAGTCGCCGTCATCACTCTCAATGTCAATCGTGGTATTCGCCAACATCGGTTGGCGGCCGAGGCACCTTACATGTCACTTCTACCACCACCATCAATAATGTTGTTGATCGTCATCATCAATCGTCATCACCATCTTCCATCTATTATTGTCTTACATATTAAATAAGGTCATTTTCCTCATGAAAAAACATCTTCACTTTAAGTTCTTGGTTAAAATTTTCCCAAAAAAATTAAGTAGGACGAAAATATCGCTCAATTTCAATTGACAAAAAATTACATGAACTTTTTCTAAAAAAATTGGCAAAAAATTGAATACATTTACTCTACTCTATTTGCATGAAGTCTCTCGAAATCATTAATTTGGAACACTAAGTTTCGATCTAAACAGGGGACTATTCCTTTTTTCTCTATTTTCTCACTAATATAGACAAGTTATTGATTCATGATCTAGAAAATAAAGTCATTTCCCTTACGATAAATGATGTCATTTTGTCATACAAATGTGTTTATTATGACACATCGGCACTATTGGCCATATCAAATCTCATGTCATTTTGTGTGAACTAAAAATATAAAGGTGAATAATCAGTCCGGTACATGTTGGTGTATTTTTTAGGATCTCAGAAAAAATTTAGTCGTACATGCAAATTTTCTCCATTTGGCCCTCAAAAAGAGGAAAAATTTCAAATAAGGGTCTAAAATGCCATCATTTTCTCAAATAAGGATCCGAAGTGGATTTTGTGTCAAATAAGGGCATGAAGTGGCTATTTCTATTTCGAAGAAGGGCCTAACTTTCTGAATGGTGGGGGGCATTTACATCTTTTAACTTTTTTTGAATTATTTTCCTTTCTTTTCTTTTTTTTCTTTGTTCTTTGTTCTTTTACCTTTTTCTAGTTTCTCTTTGTTCTTCGCCGGTGGCAGGCTAGCTGACCACCGGAGAAGCCTGGGAAGGGTTGGGCGAGGGCCACCCTCACTGGCAACAGGCAAGGGCCACCCTCGCCGACAATAGGTGAGGTCACCTCGCCAGCTGTCGCTGAGGCAAGACTAGCCTCGCCTGTTGTCGGCAAGGGTGGCCCTCGCCAAATCGGGCATGGGCGACCCTCGCCTAGCCATTCCCGGGCTTCGCCGGTGGCCGGCCCAGCAACCGGCAAAACAAAGAGAAGATCAGAAAAGGAAAAAAAGAAAAGAAAGGAAAAAAGAAAGGAAAGGAAAAAAAGAAAGGAAAGAAAAAAAGAAAAAAAGAAAATTATTTTTAGACAAAAATGCCCTTAATCTCACCGGTTGCCGCCCGGAATATTTCGCCGCCCGGTAACCGGAGAAGTTAGACTTTTATTTGAAACTTTCAGGGTCATTTCAGACCCTTATTTGAAACTGACATGTCATTTCAGGTTTTTATTTGATACAAAGTTCACTTCAGACTTTTATTTGAAAAAATGAGGATACTTCAGTCCTTTTATCTGAAATTTTCCCTTAGAAAAATGTTCTAAATTTTTGCCAACATTTTCAAAATTCAAACCGAGGTTGTTAATGGGATCCCAAAATTCGAATTTTGCAGTGTCAGGAACACACGTGAGCATCATGACTTGACAGCCAATGCCGACCGTTCAACGATAAGCCAAATTAGGAACCAGCTCATTCCATTTACATCTAAATTAAAATTCTTTCCCCTACCCCCCTGTCCAATCCAACCCAGCTCCTTGCTTTTTGTCTTTTCCTCTTTTTATGGATCTTTCATAATTTCGAATTTTAAAATCTTGCATATATATATATAAAGGTCTTTTGGTTGCCTGGACTTATCTCCAACCCTTTTCTCTCCACTGCGCACGCCAGATCTAGAATTCTTCTTCCAAAACAAGGTAATGCACATTCTGGGTTCAGGTTCTTGTGTTTCTGAACGTCGTTTCGCATCAGAAAACCGCTTGTTCTTGAAACCCTTTCTGGGTTTAGGTTCTTGCATCACCTTGTCCGATTACTTACGTTTTTCGATTGCATTGTCGTTTGGAAGAAGTTTATATGGTGTGGCTTGAATTGGGTTTCATTGAAAGAAGAAAAAAACGAGTAGGGTTAGCATCAGCCTAGAGAGGCGCAGGGTTATGGTACATTAGCATTACAACAATGGCGAGTGAATGGATAATTGCTAGGTGAAATTGGTGAAGGGGCTGTGAGATTGAAGAAATCATTTCATGTAGGACGAGTTCGATCCTGTTCTTATGGTTTTCTTGGCTGTAAATTACCTAAATCAGAGTTACTTATGCTATATCTGCTGTTTTTTCTGGGCTAATGGAGCTGCAAGATTGTTGTGCTGTGATCGGATATGGTCTTGACTTAATCAGTTTGGTTATTCATGAGAAAGCTTCAGGTTCTTCCTTGTATGATTTGCGGATTGGGTAGTGCATCTATGATTATTTTTCTTTTCCTTCTTCGTTTCTCTAGTGGAAACTGCAAATGTTGTCTACATGGTTTCTTTTCCAATGATTTTATTCTCTAAACCAAAGAGCATGTTTGAAACGGCGTTTGAAGTTTGATCTTGCTGGGTTAAGTAATCTCGCACCCAATAATAATGGTTGATCTGCACAAAAAATGCGAGCCTTTCAAAATGCCACTGTCCAAGATGTAGGTGGTTAATCCAAGACCACTGAAACAGGTGCCGAATTCTGCATGTATTTACTTTCTGTTTGGCAATTAGACAGTTAAATCAAATGCTGATATCAGTCTTTCCATTTTCTATTTTTCTTTCTTTTCTTTTACACAAGTATGTTATAATTAATCACTCATTCATATCTGTTAGTTGTAAATCTGCCATCTTTCTTGTGCTCAGCATTGTACCTTATCTTATGAACCACATCTGTCTGCCCAATTCATTATGCGGTCTAAGTTTCATGTATCAACTAAGTCCTCTCAAGGCTTGCTTAATATTCAGTTTTTCCCTCTTTCTCTATCCCTTTCCCATTGGTACATTCATTCATTTTGCACTGAAATTGGTCGAAAAGATCTGAACTGTTTATATTGGCAGGAAAAGAACAAGTGAACAGGATGGGTCGTGGAGTTAGCAGCGGCGGCGGTCAGAGTTCTTTGGGCTACCTATTTGGAAGCGGTGAGCCTGCCAACAATAATCCCCAAAAACCTGCCAAAAGCGAGGGAAACGCTGTGAGCAGCAACCCACCACCAGAGAACGGTCCAACTCCAGCTCCTCAAGCAGTTGCTGGCTGCTCTCCTCCTCAAGCAGTTGCTGGCAGCACTCCTGCAGGCAACCCAGGGAACGTGACCAACAACTACTTTCGCGCTGATGGACAGAACTGTGGCAACTTCATCACTGTAAGTTCTTGCTGTGCTAAACCTGAAGATGGCTTAGATTTTAACACAGGACTGTAAGGAACTCATGAGCAGGATTAGCTTGATATTTTCACCTGCTGAAAATTTTCAAGACTCTGGGGGTTTAGAACTTCTATTGTCCTAGAGTAGATGATGAATATGCATCCTGTTATCTCTGAATAGATTGAAAATCAAAAGCGGATAGCCAAAGTGAAAGCAGGTATGTGCTGACAATAATAGTTGAAGCCAAAAGATATTTGTGCACAAGATCAACCTTTAGGAAAAATCTAAAGTAACATGGTGAATGTAGTAAAAAGCAGTAATCTGCAATACTAAGTGCACCGGTGAGACTTAATTTATTGCAGATCCAATGGCCCTGCCTCATGCAGTTGTGCTTCTTTAATTTCTTCTTGTTTTGTTTCCTTCCTGTAAAATGAGACCATTGTGAAGAGTGCTACATCATAACATGGCAAATTAACCAGGATATTTTCAAGCAGTCGCGCTTCACTCACACATGTCCTAGTCGGCAAGCTATGGCTAATCTATACAACTTGTTCTGTCACTATATTGTTGAGAAGGTTTGTACGTGTTGGTGCAGGATCGGCCGTCAACCAAGGTTCACTCTGCTCCTGGTGGCAGTTCATCACTCAATTACCTCTTTGGCAGTGGTGGGAACTGAACCTTTGAAGTCCTTAGCCGGCTAGCTGCTTTTTACTGAAGTATTGCAGCATGTAAGTTGTGGTTTAGAAAGTCTTTCGCCGTCGACAAATTTGATGAACTTATTTGTCTAATAACATACAACGATTTCCTTGTTATGTATTATGAGAAAAATCTTGTCTTGTCAACAGATAGGCGAAAAATGTTGTTCCTACATCTCTTGTTTAAGAGGCGTTCAATTTGGAGACATTATTAGAGGCGCTTCTTCTACTTATCATTGGCAATTACATAGAAATGCTGATTAATGATTTGGAAAATATTTTCTTTAAAGTGATTGTTTGTATTGCTTACAAAAACCGAATGGACCAAAATATGTTTTCATCATCGGCGAAAAAACGTTAACATATAGCTTATTGTTGATAATGAATTCTTTTTTGGTTGACTAATTTTTCATAGGAGTTGGTAAACTATTGTTTAGGCATGAAGCTAGTCATTTTGTTGAAAGGAGTTGGTAACTCATTTTGTTGGAATGTTGGTTTATATCGTGTAGGGCTGGTATTTTACTAACTACACTTCTAATAATGCAAAGAAGTTGACAAGTTACTAATTTCTTGGAATGTTGGTAAATTGATTATAGCGTCGTTAATTTACTTAAAACATCGATAAAATTTCAGAGGAGTTGGTAGTACACTGTTTCATATGAAATTAAGTTAGCAACTTCCTGATGGCGTCGGTAATTTACTAATAGGTTACCTGATGTTCGAGTTATTGGTCATAACTTTTTTGTCCATTATAATAGAAATTTACCAACGAAATCGGAAGAGGTCCACCTTAATCTGCTAATGTTTTTGGAATACTAATTTCGAACGATGGAGCACGAAGCGTCCATTCCCACTTGTGCTTTTAGATACCGACATTTTCCTTGTCACATGGCTCGACTGAGTGCTCCACTTCGGATTCCGTTTGAGCCACAATGGGCAATGGGATATGCACATTGTCCCCTCTAGACAAGCAGCAACCCCCACTTCATTTTTGGCACACGTTAATGCTCTTTTTGGCCTTGAATAGTGACGCTGGACCTGCTTCATTAATGTTAAAGCATTAATCTTGACTTTAATTAGCCCTGTAATCTATAAAACCGTTCCACCTACATCAATTGATTGGTATCTTATTTTGTCGGGCTAATACCATAAAAAACTTCAAAATGGTACATATGTGCTACGTTGATTCCAAACTAATTTTTGAGTCATAAAAAATCTCAAACTTGTACACCTGTGGCATGGATATCACAAATTACGAATACACCGGTTTGGGGTAAATGCGGCACCGAAGTACCAATTCGAGAGTTTTTGTCACACATAAATTAGTTTAAAGTATAGGTGGTACGGGTGTATCGGTTTAGATTTTTTGTAATATTAACCCTATTTTATCCAAGATTTTGACTACGAATGAGATATCTATTCCAATGGTCAATGGCCACGTCATCTTTGGAATGCACTTGAACTATCATAGTACTTATCAATGTCAATTTTGGATGGAACACGCGATTTTTCGAGCATTAAAGATCTTGCAAAGTATGATGGCAGGGAATGGAAAAGCTAATAAATTATAATTTAGAGGTAAAAATGAAAGGGTGAAACTTCGTCCATACCTATTTTAACTAAATCACACCTTTTTCTCTTTAAGTTAGTCAAATACCCATCAATAACCAACATTTTCTTTATGTTCCCCCCTCTCTCTCCTACACCAGTTTGGAGGCCGTTTGGTTAGGTTTACATAAATGTTTTTGTTTTTAAAGCCTAGAAATAGTTTTCACATGGACAACCCGTTTGGATGATTATAGATAAAATCGGTTATTTCAAAAACAAAAGCCAACATAATCTATAATTTTGGAAGAAAAAAATTATTTAGTGATTCTGTTAATCTCTAATTTTAGACTAATTGAGAGAAATTCCGGTGTCAAGAGGTCGCAAATCTCTTTTATTTAAGCGTAACCAGCATTTCCTTCTTCTTAGCAACGAAGATGATCATTATTCCTTCCAACTATTTTCAAGATTATTGAGAAGAAAAAGCTACCTAGGTGGCGTCCTTAATTGCACTATAAACATGGGGACTTAATTATATTTTTCAATAAAGGTTTGGGACTCAATTAAATTAATTAAAAGGTTTAAGGGCCCATTTCGCTTTTTGACGAAGATTTAGGGTTTGATTCAACAATTGAAAGATTTGCTACTCGATCGTATTTATAGATAAGATTTAAGATTTGTGGTGTGATTTTTTCGTCGTGATATTAAACCGCAAAAACCATACAAAACTTTCGAATATCCTCACCTCTTACTTCCTGAATTCTATCATGCAGCTGGGGCTAGACGCTTCTCACTTCTCAGTAAATTACAGTATATACCGTAACATAAGATGACTTAGCTTTCCATTTAGCCTCTATTTATTTTGCGAAAAATAAATAATTTAAGAAATATTTTAAAAAAAAGATTGCTTGTATTAGTTACAATAAATGAATGAACGAATTTTTTTTATCGTGCATGAAAATGGTCAGACAAAAAATGTTGTCAATAATGAAAATATTTTTTATTGAATAATTATTTCAAGTGATACGAGCGGTCATTTTTAATAAAATACTTTTCAAATTGAACTATGCAATTATACATGACGTTACGCCCACAAGCTAAAGTAATGAAAAGCTTTTCGTTTTTCCTCGTGTCAAATGATGATGAGCATAGTGGCCGGTCCACCTCCACCAGAAATCTTTTATTTAAGTCTCTGTGCTTCGAAGATCACCAGATATGTTGGCAAAAGCTTTGAAGATCACCAGCTATGGAAGGTCTCACCGCGCGCACCGACAGGTTGCCCTCTCCTTCTTTTCTCTTGATAATGGCGACACTGCTCTTGACCTCCGGGGCTCTGCCGTCCCGCGGAAGCAACACCAGCGCCCTGGCCACCGCCATCTTCTGCGGCGACTCCGGCCATGGCCATGCCGGCGGCTGTCTTATCGGGGAGGACGACATGGAGTTGGAGTATCTGATCGACCCGCCGCACTTTCCGAGCCGCATGCTCGCCTGTGACACATGCCCGCCCTACAGGACTGAGACCGCTAATACGAAAGAACAATTAGGTACCTGTGGGAGATCTTATGAAAGGGGTAAGCCTTACACCCCATGCGTTCCTCCACCTAACTGCAAACATCCTTGTGATGCACGCTACCGCACACGGTGCAGCTGATGGCACTGGATCGAAGGAATGAAGACAAAGCCGCTACGCGTTGCTAAAACATAAGGTCATAGTACATGCGCGCTTATTGCTTGATTTCGTCGCTGTTCTAGTTGATTTCGTAAGGTGTATGTTAAGGCATCATTTGGATCCTACTAGTCTTTCAGAGCTCTATATTGTGTTGTATGAAATTTGATCAGCGAGACAGAACGTTTCTCTTAGATCTTACTGTCTGAAGTTGTTGTACTGCAATGGCTTCTCATGCAGTGGAAATTTCCCTGAACTCTCAGAGGTATTAAAAGAAATTCCAAATTCACATCTCGAATTTTGCTTTGTTAGTCAAACCCGTTTAATTTTATTTTTGCCGTCAACATGTGCTGGGCACACGTAACGATATAAGAAAAATCGACGTTAAAGTTATCTGAGATGAGACGGTCATATGACTGATGTCACGTGATTGATCAATTAAGTTGTCCGCTTGATATAGACCCCAGCCTACTTGTGCACCGCGCAATTTCACCCCACGTCAATTTTACATGCACCGGCTGTCACAGGAAATCCCTTCTCGACAATTGGGTCAGTTGGGCCTTATTCAACCTCGGGTTCTTCTAGGGCCCAAAAAGAAAATTCTGGTATTCATAACTCTTTCGCTACCGGCACCAATATATAGATATATATATATATATATATATATATATATATATATCTCTCTCTCTCTCTCTCTCTCTCTCTCTATAACTAGCTTTTAGGTTAGCACGTGGCGCGGTAATGATATAAATATAGACTACAAATCCCACAACTTGTTGCGAAAGTGCAAGTCCCAAAACTTATTGCGAAGGTGCAATTGAATCCTAAAATTTTCAGAAAGTGCAATCAATTTCTAAAACTTATCAAATTTGTTCAATCGAGTCCTAAAGTTAACACCGTCAATTTGTCTAACGGAAAATACTGACGTGGCATTTTAAAATTAATTTTTCTCTCCTATGTGGCATTTTTATTGATTTTTCCTTCCAATCTTATTTAAATAATATTAAAAACTTAAAAAAGATAAAATAATAAAACAAAACTGGAAAAAAAGAGAAAAAGAGGGCAGGGAGAGACTCACTGGTGGGCGCTGCTGCCGCTGTCGCCCATCGTCGGAGAGGCCGGCGACCTGGGCGAGAGTGACCGGCCCTTGTTGGCCCCAGGCGAGGGTGCGGCCAGCGAGGCCTCGCTTGGGCCTAGCGATGGTTGCCAGCCCTCGCCTAGGGCCAGCGAGGCCTCACCCAAGGCGGGCGATGGTCGTCGGCCCCAAAGCTAGCGTTGTCCAGATCTAGGCGCCGTCAACCCAGTCTGGGTGAGCTTTGTTAGCCCTTGCTAGGTCGGCGAGGGCCGGCCACCCTTGCCTTGGGCCAGCGACCTTTGCCAGCCCCTCCGGCGATCGGCAGCGGCAAGTCTAGCGAAGGTTGCCGGCGGAGGTGCCCAGCCGTGAGTCCCTATGCTCTTTTTTTCTTCTTTTTTCTAATTTTGTTTAATTATTTTAGCTTTTTTTAAGTTTTTAATATTATTTAAATAAGATTGGAAGGAAAAATCAATAAAAAATGTCACATAAGAGAGAAAAATTAATTTAAAAATGCCACATCAGCATTTTCCATTAGACAAATTGATGGTGTTAACTTAGGACTTGATTGAACCAATTTAACAAATTTTATAACTTGATTGCACTTTTTAAAGTTTTTAGGACTCAATGGCACTTTTGCAATAAATTTTAGGACTTGTAGTGCACATATCCCTAAAAATAACAATTACATTGTTTTTAGAGATAATCTCCATATTACTTTAGTTAATGTCTCCGTTCTTTATTGAAATCATCAATATTCACTCCAGTATAAGTAGTTTTTTTTTTGCTAGAAATCCAGTATAAGTAGTTCATCCTAAATTCTGAATGAAGTTAAGTACAAATAAACATTCCTTAAGAAAGGACAATTTTGAATATGGGATAGAGGCACGATTTTTCTCATTTGCAGATTAGATTAAGCTTGGCGTCGACAATAAATCCAAAATCATTTC